ATATATATATATATATATTAAATGAATATATTATATTGAATGATCATCATTACTCACACAGCATATAATTTTACAATAATATTATAACATTATTATAAATTTGCTGTAATATTACATGATAATATATCGATATATATCAATAAATATTGCTGTAATATTAAATTTCATAATAAATATTTCTGCAATTATGGTTAAATATTCTAATAATATTATTAATTTTTAAGAGAGTTGTTGCTATGTTCGAGGAACGCACTATCAACTCTATTACACCTTTCTATTTTTTATTTAGATTTGAATGAACAATAAAGAATGATATAGTGCTGATAGCGCACTTTTCGATTACAGCTAAAGAATAGAATGTGTCTCTAACTTAATTTATATACAGAATAATCAAAAATTATATTGTCAAAAAAAATTTATTTAATGTGTTGACATCAGTATTGAAATATTTAATACAAATTTTTATACTGTAATATATGTTTAGCATTATAAAATCTTCAAATGATATTTCACCTGGAATGTTTGAAAGTAAATTCCTCAAAACTATTTATTCAGTGATGTATGTAAAGCGATATACAAATATTGCCTTATATCTCTAAATAAATCGTTTTGAAGAATTTACTTTCAAAAAGCATTTCAGGTGAAATTATTTGAAAATCTCGGGTGAAAGATCTTATAATGTTGTACCTTTTATTCTTTTCTGTCTAATTCTTACTTAAGGGAAACCACGTAACTCGTTGCCGCCATCTATCGGTGTTAGTACTGCGGTCATAAAGACATTGCAATATTTGATATTATGGTAATATCGCAGTATATATCACATTATAATATTTATATAATATTGTGGTAATATCGAATTGTGATATACTGATTGCAATATTTCAATAAAATTACTGCAATATTAAAATATTATCTTATAATATTTTGGATTGTAATATCTCAATAATATTTTCATAATAATGCATTGAAATAGTAAGCTGGGTGGACATGCTTATTCGTTTATCTTTAAAAATTAATATCTCGTTATAATTATTGCAAAAATTGTAAAATGATAGAAAATTTTCCGACTCTGTTTAATTTTCTACCTGCGCACAAAATATTTGGTGATCAATCTGGGACATCCTGTATATTGAAAGATATATATTTCAATCAAGAAATATATTTAACATCTTACAGGATTTAATAATATGTAGGATCGGATATGTGAGGAAACATCCTAGAAATTAATGCCTTAAATGATCTAACTGGATGCTTAAGTGTTTGTATATTGTAATTCTGTGTGAATTTATAATATATATATTGTGATATACTACGATATGCTATGACAGGAGAAATCGGGGCTAGTAGACTCATTTTTCAGTTTCGAATTTTTACAGATGAAGTTAAGAGACTTATCGAAAAAATAAATTCTATATATCAGTTACTATACATTTGATTACTTAATAATATTTTAACAAGGGGAAACTAATAACTAATATGAAAAAAAAATGTATTTTTCTGCATTCCATCTGATTCAACTAGCCCCGGGACTGGGGTATTATAATATGTAATTTGACTAAGATTATTAAAATGAGGATTAATATATTTTAAGCTACATATTAATATTTTTTTTTTTTTATATATTAATAAAACTTTTATAAAAATATATTTTAAATACATTCGCTTCGCAAGGCAAAACAATTCTTTCGCAAAAATTTGTTTGTTTCATGCAAAAACCTCGAAGCCTGGTTTTTTTCAAGACTGGACATGAGGGAACTCTAATACTTATAACATTTATCACTAAGGTAAATCTCATTAAAGGAATAAAATTTTGAGTAAGTACTATATAAGAGTCATTAAATGAGTCATACAGTCCCATTGTGATTAGTCTACTATTCCCATCCGTTCATTTTTTCAAAACATTAATAATATAATATACGATAAACACATAAACAAAAAAAATGTGTTGGATTTTATTAGATAAGAACTTACTAAATAGAAATCAAAGACAATCATATACGATTATAAAACAAAAACTTTAAGAATAAAAATATTTACGATTTTTTTTTAATTGTAGCGCAATTTCTATCATAAATGTGTTCCCTGATGAAAAAGTTTCGCTGAAATTATTCTACGTTTTGGAACATTTCAGCAAAATTGTTAAAAATTTGCTGAAACTTTACTGAAAATAAATTTTTCAACTAACGTACTGAAAATTATTGAAATTCAACTGAAATTTCTCTGAAATTTTTGCTGAAATTTGTCTGAAAATTTTGTTTGAAATTTTTTTGAAATTTTATCGAAAATGAATTTTTCAGCTAAAAATCGCTGAAATTAAATTAAAATTTTGTTGAAAAATGTTCCAAACATGGAATAATTTCAGCAACATTTTTTCAGGATTCGTAACGAGATGTTACAGCAGACTGAGCGGCAATTACTGCCGCGTGTCTCGCGTGTTTTATTTTTAATGTAGCCTCGATTATTCTACTTACTTCTATAGTCTACTGACCCCGGTTTCCCCTATACTAATATATAAATATAATAATATATAAATTCACACAGAATTATACAAGTACTTAAGATCTAATTAAACCGTTTAAGGCATTGATTTTTGTAGGTTGTATTCTATACGGTTTTATATTGTAAGATATTATATTGTTAATATCTAAATAATATAATCTAAATAGACGTTGTTTCTTCATACAATTGTTGTGAAGAATATTACTAAGACCTCGGTAATCTACAGACTTAGGACGCTCACACAGAATGCAAAAGATCCGGTTTCGACTCCCGACCGAAGTAATATTTTTCGCAATAAGAATTAATTATTTACAGATTTTAATACGAGTATGTCACTCAGCATTATTAAGATCGTTCTAAAATGTGGAAAAACATCAAATTGGTAAATTGTTAGTTAATTTAACTCATGATATTACTGCGGTAGTTTAGTAGAATTTGGGTTTTCAAGACCGAAAAATCATTTCGGCGCGTATTTTAAAGGACAACATATGTAGTATATAAATTCACACAGAATTATACAAGCAGTAAGATTAAGGCATTGATTTTTAGGATATATATTTCAATTCTTGCCTATAATGTCTCTTTATAATCTACAAAATTTTCTGAATATTTTTTCAGATTGCCGTGCCCGACGTTGTAGAGGCAGCAAAAAATGCTGACATCCTTATCTTCGTTTTGCCACATCAGTTTATTCGCACATTGTGTTCAACGCTGTTGGATAACATAAAACCAACTGCAGTTGGCCTTTCTCTCATTAAGGTACGTTTTAACTCTTTTTATGCTCTTAGATTAAGTTAGCCAATTTGAATTGAAGGGTTTTGGTCGAGGTGAAGGAAACAGTATTGAGTTAATCTCCAAGATCATCGAAAAGCATTTGAGAATACAATGCAACGTTTTAATGGGCGCCAATTTGGCCAATGAAGTCGCCGAGGAGAAATTCTGTGAAACTACGATCGGTAAATGTTTTTAATATGTATACATTCTCTGTTTTTTTTTTAAACAAATTATTTCCTTATATAATTTCTGTATTTTTAAAATAAAAAATTCGTGAAACTCTATACTATTAACTAAAACTCTGAACATATTTTTGATTAGACCTTATCCTGTGAAGAATCTTTAGGTTTGGAACATTCTGTATGTACATAAATTCCGAAATATTCTAAAGTGTCTCATTCTATAATTTCTAAAGAAATTTCTCTCTCTTATAAAATTTAAAATATTTTAAAAAAGTTTAAAGTATTTTTTTCAGAAATTTTATAAATTTCAAATAATAAAAATTCTTTAAAAATATGTTAGCAGATATTGCATTATTGTGAAAATATTTTTCATCAAGGTATCATTCAAAGATTAGAAAATTATAGGGTGCAAGGATAAAAGATTGGCACCGGTACTGAGGGATCTTATTCAAACTCTAAACTTTCGAGTAGTTGTCGTGGAGGATTGCGAGACTGTGGAAGTATGCGGAGCTTTAAAGGCAAGTAGTTCATTTTCAAAAAAAGTTTTATGTTACGAATTATTTTATTGAATTATTTCGTATATATTTAAATAATAGTTGTATTTTCTCAATACTATATATATTTTGTTATTGTATTCATGATTTTGTTAATTGACATTTCTACAATTTTTTATTCCATTTCATTCATTAATTTATCAAACTGAATATATTTCGATTATAGAACATTGTGGCGTGTGCAGCTGGTTTCGTAGATGGCCTCGGATTGGGCGACAACACGAAAGCTGCGGTGATTCGATTAGGACTGATGGAGATGATCAAGTTTGTCGACACTTTCTACAGCGGTTCTAAGCTTTCTACATTCTTCGAGAGCTGCGGCATCGCGGATTTGATTACTACTTGTTACGGAGGAAGAAATCGCAGGGTCTGCGAACAATTTGTCAAGACTGGCAAGGTGAGAGATTCTAGTAGTTTCTTATGAATTTCTATTTATCTGCACGATTGACTATATAATGATAAAATATCTCACAAACTCGTTTTTAGGATTGAAAACTTAAATTATGCTCCCTTAATATTTCGTTCAGATGGATGTAATGCGCCTGCGCACACTTCGACAACAGTTTTTAAAGTACCGCTAAAAACTAAAGCTTAAAGCAGGGAGCAGACTCTTGCATAATACGTAATGCATAAGAAAATGTATCTCGAAAATATAAATCGAAATCCTTCATTTCTTTCTTTTCTTATAAAGGAAAGAACTCTGATCTGGTTGAATTTTTTATGTTTTACAGAAATTATCTTAGAAATTTTTTTTATAGACAACAAGGATGAACTGATGTCTGCACTGTGTGAGCGAAAATAGAATACATCCTAAGTAACATGTAATATTAATATATTAATATATTATACAGACTATCAAAGCATTGGAAGATGAACTGCTGTCCGGGCAGAAACTACAAGGGCCAGCAACAGCAGACGAAGTCCACGATATGTTGAAGGCGCGTAACTTGACGGATAAATTCCCGCTGTTTACCGCAGTGCACCGTATTTGTACCGAACAACTGCGACCGGCGGATCTGATCGACCAGATTCGTAGTCACCCTGAGCATGTGTAAGACCTCTATATAGAATTCAGCGATAGTAGATTCTGTTAACATTCACTACATTTATTTTTTTTTAATGATGCTGAATTCTAATTCGATGCATTGAGAGTCGATTCTTCTTCACATTCCAGAATCAAAAAACCGATTTTGAGAAATTTAATTCATTGTCGATTCGAGTATTTTTTAGCTAGAATCAAGGAGATAATGGGCGCATTCAGCGGATTCAACAGTTGAGCGCTCACTGTTATTGGTGTATTCTTTTAACTCATCCAATCAGAATTTTAGATCTAGAAGAATACACCAGAGCGAGCGCTCACTCAACTATTTAATCCGCTGAAGGCATTTAATGCATTCAGAACGACAACCACTCATTGAGCGCTCAATGAGTTTATGTATCTGTTCGGTTTATATTTTTAGACTTAACGGAATATGCTGTAATAAGATGTAAGAGTGCTCAGTAAGAGGTAATATTTTTTAATTGCTTTCCATTGCACACAAGTGAAACTGAGTCTAAAATGAACTGAATATTTGATACTTAAATTAATGACGTCATTATTTGCTTACTTTAATAAAAAGTTATCACATGACAACACAGGTTTGAACCTCATTTTTAAAGTAAGTTTACGAGATTCTCTAAAGCACACAGTCTCGATCTTGTGCAGCTTACAGACAAAAACTCAGTTAAATCACTTGTCAGAAAAAAGGAATGCATTCAACTGAGTTATGACGTGAGAATTATCTAAGAATAGGTGTAAATAGAAAGCAACTATTGTTGTTTGTAATAAATGCATCCATGGCTATGTTTTAAAATTTATTGCAAATATTAAAAATCTACATTTACATTACATGCACTATAGATTTTCAGTATTGGCAGTAAATTTTGGAACACAGCCCATGTAATGTGATTGTCAAACAATTGAATATGATTGATTCTTATCTGTAGAATCAATTATGTTTAACGACATGTCTCTCTGTAAGAATCCCATCTGGAAATTAAGATAGACAGCTAAAAGCTGTTAAACAACGGAAAAAAATAGTTGGCAATAATTATATGATAAACGAATTAATATAATAAAAAAAATTATCCATTTATTTTTGCCACGCTACATTATTCTTCTTTTTAAAATGCTTCTTTTTGCATTTCTTTTTTTGAAACTTGACTCAATAACTCAATTCTTTAATTTCCTCTTTAAATCGATTTAAAAATATCATGGCCTTAGTAAATAAATCAATTCATTTTTCAAAAAACGGCATCAAATTGAATTTCTCACTATATTAAATATCTTAACCGCAGTATAATCATACCTAATGACATTGAACAGCATGATGTTCTTTGATGTTCTTAGATAACATGATTTACTGTCATATTGTGAAGTATACATAGTAGAGTTATGATAAAACAGGCTCTTAAATTTGAATTTCTATTAAGCTTCTACATCATATTCCTAAGTGTACAAAGCAATACATGCGCACTAAAAAATTGCAGACCATAAAAAAGTTCACTGCTACCAATTATACTATGTTTTAACTCTCAACTACGTGTCTGGATTCAAATCATTCATAGCATTTTTGGCTCTATAATTATCACAAATCTCAATGGAAAATATTTTTTTTAACGAAATATCAGAATGTATAGAATCGAAATATAAAAAGGTTTTGATAACAATTGAAAAAATTATGCCAATACTAAAGAACAATTTGTGAAGAGTGCATAATCAGTTTTTTTTTCAAAATCATATTTTTATGATAAAAAAAAAAGTTTAGATAAAAATAAGTAGTGTTTTGAAATAAGGAAAATGTGAACTTTAAGAAAAAAATACGTTATATTGATTCATTCCAAAAAATATAATTATTTGCGCGATTGAAGTAGGGATATTTTTAAACATGCTCAGAAAAATGATATCGGAAGTATGATATCGGTTATTTTCTTCTTTAAAAATGCAATGAAAATATTTTATATTGAATATTTTATATTAAATATATAATAATTTCGACATTATTTACTCACGATTTTATAACTCTGAGAGAATAAAGCGATCGTTTCACCAAGATACCTCTCTCGCAAAAATGCTTTTTTGTTTTCGGAAAAAATCTGGCGAATTTATATTTAACGGGCCCAAGCTAAACTTTTATTGCATCACAATTAGCGTCAAGAAAATAATGAAACAATTGCATCATGGCGATTGACAGAGAAAAGATTCAAGTTTTTTTACTCCTTCATTTCAACTCTGCAATATTAATCGTATAAAAATAGCGGCCGACTAAAATTTTCACCCGGATCCAAATAACCCACTCATGTAGTCGAAGGTTAAAATTATCCTGTTTTATCACGATTATGTTATTTTATTTTAAGAAAAATTTCCGAATTTACTTTATGAATTGCAAATTTTTTTTTATAGAATTAAAGAACGCATAAAAATAAATCCCGCAAAATCGATTTCATGAGAAAATTTAAAAATTTACTTTTTCTGAGAAAAGATGAGATTTATTGAATGATATTTTTATTGAAATCCATTCCTTTAGGTTCGCTCCAAAAACCCTCTTTATGTACTGAGTCCTCCTCTCCCTTCTTGTTAAATTCTCGAGTAGAGATTATATTTGCCTCTATTCTACACAATCCTTACTTCTTGTACACGTGAATAATTACACAAAATATATGAAAAAGGTGAGACATTTAAAACTATCATGGTAATGAAATAAATATAAAACAATTTCCTTACGTTTCAGAATGAGATTGGAAGAGGGAAATACATAGTTTACGCAAAATACATGAATTTAACACGAGGTGTAGAAACAGCCTATGAAATCAAGAAGGAAATGATTTAGCCACCAAAGGCTTGTACATAATTTGAATGTCCCCATTATAATCTTATTGTAAATAAAGATTAATTATGAACTGAAATAGCATTTTTCTATCAAAGCTACTAAACATGTGTGTTTTTCATATTATATAATACATTATTTACAAATTTTAATTTTAAATAATAAGATGTCTAAGTGATTTCACTGTAATAACTATTCATAATTAACTTTAGTTGATTCTTATTCCTGTTCGATATCCTTCAATAGCATAGATTGTGCAGTTCAATTTTAGTCTTTGCTTTCTTTGCCTAATTTATCATCTTTCTGATCTTTATATAGCATATTATCTACCAAGACATCTGGAGTAAGTCGCAGTGCTGAAATTGTAATTTAAATTTGCTTATTCGATATAAAATTATCTAACACAATTAATGTTTTATTTATTACTCGAAATTAATGATAATTACCCACTCTTCTAGGTGCCGTTTCGATCGCTTGTATGACAGTCGTTCGTATTTCATATTCAACTTCCTGAGCGAATTTATTTAACTGAAATAATAAAAACACAATATTTCTGTACAAGTTTCATTTATAAGTTCATATGATATATGTATAAAATCTGCCCATAATATTTTCATTGCACATTATATGCACGTTTAAAACAAAGAGATATACCTCCTCAATCACTGCCTGGTTTGTGACATTTTTATATTTTCTGTATTCTTTGTTTATCTGATCTCTCACAACTAATAAACAATATAATAAAATATTACTTATTGAAAATGAAAGATCTATCATTATATCAGAGTGTAGATTATTGACAAAGTGTATATTACCTTGTAATGCATATTCATCGCCTTCAAATGTCTTTAATCTTGTTCTATGAAGTTTCTTGAAGACTCGTAAAATCTGAAAATAATTATAATCTTAAAAGTAAAACGAACAAATGAAGAAATAAATAAACTGAAACTGAAGTATAACTTCCTAATGACTCTCGAAATTAAAAGACAAAGATTCAGACGAATGAGAATATAAACATGATATAATTAGAGCAATAGTCTTACAAGATGATTTTTAGTGTTTGTTCTGTTTATATATGAGGTTTGTACGTTTCGACTTGGTTTACTGTCTTCATCAGCGACTAAATATTTACAAATTAATTAGAAAATATCTCTTCCTTAAATGAATACAGCCACTACAGGAGACAGATTCCAAGTGAGGTAATTTGATTATATGAATTTTAATTTTAAATTCTGCAAACGTAAATGTGAATTAAAAAAAACTGAACAAATATGAGTGTCAAATATCGTATTCACAGTTACCTTATATTTAAGGCTTCCTTAAATTTATCTTTAGATGCTCTACGAATCATTTTATTAGCTACTGAGCATCTAAAGATAAATTTAAAGAATCCTTAAACATAAGGTCTGATTATGAATACGGACATAAATAAGTATAAACGCAATAAAAGATTTTTTTCTCCATTTTATGAGCGCGAATGTGGAGTAGCAGACAACGCACTAGAGATTCCATGTTCAATCCCCGGCAGAATTGAAAATTTTCATACATTCGTAGCTCCTCTTAAAAAGCAATGACAAATCACCGAGTAGTTATACTTTCTCTGGAAACTTCTCTATCAGTTCATCGGAATCGACGTTAGATAGATGAGTGTAGATAGATTCCATATGACTACAGTGTACAATTAGCGTGCGTATCAGAGGCATAGCAGAGAAGTCACCATGCTTTGCCACAAGCAATAGAATTAAGAAAAGTGTTGCTTTACTTTAAGCCAACAAGAGAAATCATTAAAAAAAATTATAGATCAAAGACAATAGAAGACAAAATTATAGATCAAATAATAAAGGAGTAGAAGATTGTTGAAAGTAGGGATTGTATAAAAGAAGCAACAGTATAAAATGGCTACGCGAATGTTAATTCAATATATCTTGATATCGTATCAATAACATCATGTATTGTATTTTTCAGTATTTTTCAATTTTTCAAAAAACATTTGAAAGCAACGTACAATGCTTGTGACGCTATTTTATATACAACATTTTTATTATAATCTTTTGAGGGAATGTCTTTGTAAATTTTTAATAAACGAGTTTATTCATGCTATAAAGTGTTAATTTCATATTCAAATTTTTGATAATGCCCTTAAATTTCAGAAATAAAACAATAAAAATCATGATAGAAGAGATTTCTCTTACAGAGCATCTGTGGATATATATTGTGCCTTCATCTGTTTGTTAAAAAGAGCTTTTAGTCTTATATTTATATATATTTCAAAAATAAGTATAATAAAATAAATTTGGAGGTTAGTCATTATTAAGTAACGCATTTACAATGAATCTAATATTCTTGTCATGAAATCTGAAATGCGATAATATAAAATAAAATGATTAATAAAATAAAATGATTAAGTCTTTTCTGTTATATGTGAAACGCTCTTTTCTCTTTTATGGTAAGCCACATGATTCACTTTATATTTATATTATTTAGACACTTATATATATTCAGTTTTTCTCAATTCACATTTTAAAATTTAAAATTAAAAATCATAATCAAATGGAATTACTTCACTTGAGATCTATCAATCTTGTAGTGGCTATATATATTGGAGGAAGATATGTTTCTAATTAATTTTTAAATACTTAGTCACTGATGAAAACTCTAAATCGAATTGAAATGTACGAATCTCATGTATAAGAACAAACAAAATCATCTTATAAAAATCATCTTATAAGATTATTGCGCTCTAATTATCGCGTTTATATATTTGTCTTTGTTTTTTAAATAAAATTTAAAGCTCTTACTGAAACTTACAAATGCTATTCCTATCAAGAAATGTCTTCAAGTATTATATTAGTCAAGTATTAAGTAGTATGTTAAAATTTCTAATATATTTATGCATTTTAAATAGTGCTTTATGTAGTGTTTTTAACTATAATTTAAAAACGCAAATTACATCTATTTAGAGTAACATTCATACTTTATTGTAAAAAAAATAAAAAGAGGGTGCCTAAAAATGATCAAAAAAAATTTGCCCTGAGTCAACTCCTGAAATACTAATTCTACAGTATTTCTTGATGTACCTGAAAAAGAAATATAATATTTATAATACCAGGAATATTGGGAAAATTGCTAATAACGAAAATTGCTAATAAAACGTTATACAAAATGTGTACTGCATATGTGACATTATATGTTTCATTTTTTTTTATTTCTGCAGCATCACTCAGCAAACAAGAATGAATTGAAATGGATTCAGATTTTTAGAAATAATTGATTCACAAATGTTAAAATTAATGCTTTTCAAACCTGAATGTATTTTTATTCATTTGTAGGAATTGCATAGAACATATTTCTATGTCTTTCAATCTAAAAATAATATTAGCTTTTTCTGTGCAACATAAACAACACACAAGCACTTTGTGAATATTGTTCAATTCAAAATTTTGAATAGGAAATGCAATTTTTCAATCCAATTACATCCAACTGAATCTAATTGAACCCAATTGAAACCCAAAAATATATTCACTATTTAAAATACGCATTCGGATAAAAAAAAATTTCAAT